TTGGTCCCTTTGGGGGAGGGGGACTTTTGGGGGGGGTCCCCCTCGAGGGGGGTCCCTTTGGGGGGGGCAGGGGCAAATTTTTTAAAATGGCCGAAGAAAGCTTGCCAGACCGACCGGGGATAAAACTTAAAAGCTTTCCTTGGGGTAAGCAAATCCGGGGGTTGCCCCCGGTTGAGGGGGGGGGGTGTTTACCCTCACCCCCGTGCACCGGGGGCCGGCCAGTGGTTGCCCTTTGAATGCCGTGGGGCTCCTGCCCGTTTCCGGGGGTGGAGATTCGAGGGTTGCCCCCCCTTGCCCCCCCCTTTTGGGGGGGGGGGGAAATTTACCTTTCCTTTCCTTACCTTGACGGGGGGGGAAATTTTTTGGTAAAAAGGAAAGGTGGGCCCCTTTCCCCGGGTAAGTGGGAATCAAGGGGGGGGGCCCCCCCCCCCCCCCCCCCCGGGTGGGCGTGGAGGAAAACGGCGTCGCTAAATACCGCGTCGTGAGCGCGGAGAGATGTATTCGAAAATGTTGAAATCTAATAACCACGAGAACGCGGACAAAGAGGACGACGTCGCGCACACCGCACCTCTGAGAGACCGGGGATCGGTTCCGAGTGTGGACTGGAGTGACACGAGTCCCACAGAGAGCACAGAGTTCTGAGCGCGCGTTTTTTTGCGGCGGCACAGAGAGTGCAGATTCCAGATATGTGAGACGACTGCAATCTGCATGTGTTGTGCTTCACCCAGTTCACTGTGCTCACCTGGGCCGGACACCGCGTCAAGACACAACTTGTCAAGGACGAGATCATACGCCGTGGCACAGCGGGGAGTACAGCGGGCTGTACAAGATATTGTTCCCTATCTTCGCATGCTCGTCGTTGGTGATCGATAGGCTAGGGAGATCAACGCTGATCGATCAACGTCAGCCGACAGTGACTGAGACTGTCAAAGACATTACTCATTAGCGCAGAGGTGGAGGAGGAAGGTAAGACTTTAGTCAAAATACAATACTCAACCGCGCAAGAAACAATCTTTCCACTCTGGCCTCAACCCTCAACCGCCAACCAAAACAACCTGCAACCAACCCAGAAAGAAAGTAACGGGCAGCCACTAAACCGTAAGATACAGAAAAAACGGCCCCCAGCTCCAAGTGCTCCAAGTGCCCCAGCACCCAAAGGAGGGATGCGGATGGGAGGACGCCACGCCATGAGAGAAAAGCAGAAACTCCAAAGGAAACATCACAGTTTACATGGGTCTGCCCGAGTCACCTTTTTTTGTTGCAACGTGCCCAAGCAAGATCGCCGTGAGGCGGTGAGGCCGGAATGTGCTACGCTGCCTCCTTCGACGGGCTGCCGCCGTCGCCGCTACGCGTGCTGCTCATCGACAACTTCGACAGCTATACTCAAAATCTCTACCACGCCCTCGCACAGAGCGGCTGCGAGGTGAGTGCGGCTGCCACCGACCCTGCTCTTGCCGCGGCCAGCGTCTGACTCGCCTCCGCCTCCGCCTCTGCAGGTGCTAGTCGTGAAGAACAATCAGTTCGCCAGCTGGGACGCGCTCTGCTCAGCGCTCCCGCCCTTTGCAGCAGTGGTCATATCTCCGGGGCCAGGTAGTCCAGCGAATGCTGCCGACTTTGGCGTCTGCAGCGAGGCCTACGACGCAGGCCTGCCACTCTTCGGCGTGTGCCTCGGCCACCAGGGCCTGGCGCTGTCGGTGGGCGCGACGGTCGGTCTTGCTTCGGAGCCGATGCACGGCCGGCTCTCCGACGTCACCCACGCCGGCTGCGAGCTCTTTGCGG